TTACTGATTTGTTTTCCAAACAAGCACATTTTGTGCCCTGCCAAAAAATCCCATCTGCTCACATCTGAGCTAAGCTGTTCATTCACCACATCTATAGACTACATGATGTTCCACAACTAATAATTTCTGATCACGGGTGCAGTTTACCTCCAAATTTTGGCAGGAATTTGTAAAGTTTCTTGGGACTCAGTTCCAGTCATCATCCTCAAACAAATGGCTGATCTGAACATACAAACGGGGTGCTAGAACAGTATATGAGATGCTGCATAAATTACCAACAGGACAATTGGACAGACCTCTTGCCATTTGCTGAGGTGGTCTATAATAATTTGGTACATAGTAGCACTGGATTCATCCCTTTCAAAATAGCCATGGGACAGGACTTTGTGCCCATGCCCAAACTGCTCCTGACTACCGACCCTCCATCTCATTCTTAAAAGACTGGGTTGCCCAATTGCAAAATACATGGTTTGTTGTCAGGAAATCATTGGAGGAAGCAAGAGAGACTTATAAAAAACATGCGGACAAAAAGTGAACCAAGCCCAAAGATTTAAAAATAGGAGATGGGGTCTACCTGTCAACCAAATACCTACAATCCAGGCAGTCTTCTAAAAAACTGTTGGCTCTTTCCCTATCAAGAGAATTATCAGTTTGCTACAGTTGAACTCAAACTGCCGAAATCCCTTAGATGCAGTCACTCAATTTTCCATTGTAGCCTACTGAAACCAGAAACTCAATCCCTGCTACGCCCAATTCTGCCATCACTACTCAAATCACTCATGATTTGAGGGGGAACAACATTTTGAAATTAAGAACATATTAGATTCCCATAGATACCGAGGAAAACTTCAATATCTGGTAATGTGGAAGTACTTCCCCCCCCTTCACGAACTGAATGGATGGACTTTAAAAGCATTAAAGCAGCCAAACCTCTCAAACATTTCCACAACAGGTAACCCAATAAATTGAAATAGTATCCTGCTCTAACTGTATCTCTACCTTGTTTCTCTTTTATGTTGTGTCTTTCCATTTGTTTTGCAGGACTAATGTCCCTGTCAAGGGGAGAAATTAGAATCACCAGCTTCAGCTTGATGCCTTGCTGGTGTTCTGTTGTCAAAGAGAGAGGGAGGGGGGAACAAATGGGCAATTTGCTGTATACCTTTATGGCAGGAAATTGGGAGGGGGGAATTGACAGTTGAGGAAGAACAGATCTGTTTGGAATCCAGTTCATGCTGGAGCGTTGACATCTTCAAGGCTGTTTGCCTTGAGTGTGTAATTTCAACAATCAAAACACCTCAGAGTTTCTCCTAACATCCCAGTAGTGCTGGATTGACTACGCACGGAAGACTGCAGGGGACAGGCGCAGGAAAACCAGGGTTTTTAGTTCTGTATTGGCATGTGGGAATTTTAGATTCCTCTTGACTCTCCTGCAATCAGCATTAGTAAAAGTGCCTTGTCACTTCAAATGGAGTCAAGAGTTTTACTTCCCTAGGAGATCACACTGGGGCAGGTCTGACAGTAAGTATGAAAAATGGTTATAGGTCTCTTTTTAGTGTCACTGTAATTTTGAACAATCACTAAACAAATGGTTGTAAGTGGAAGACTACTGTATATGTAAATGATACTTTTCTGAGGGATCTCTTTCAATAATGATCTCACCAATTTAATGGACAGAGAGTAAGATTGCCCTTATAGCAAAAATATAATTGAATAGATCAAGGCCTTTGTGTATATTATACCAGTGTGGAAAACATGGAGGTTGACAGCAGCCCAGAACAAAGTTTTTTTACATGAGCTAGCAGAATTTGGAGAGTTAAATAAGATGGAGAACAAGAGTCATATTTTCTTCATATCTATTTAATTTATACAGAATTAGAAGAGATGACACAATCAAAATCGGGGTTGAAACATTTCTGTTCTGTGCACAACTCTGCTCAGCAGTGTACTGCTCATGCATGCCTGAGGTGGCATATAAACCCAAACCAAGATAATGAGGAAAACTCTCATGGAGCATAAAAGGGTTTACAATTGTTGAATAATGTTTCTAAGATCACATTGCAAAATTTCTTTAGTACTCTGACATCTTTATGCCAGTAACATAGAAGCAGATTCCCCTTCCTCTCTTTTTTCCTGTGTAACCTGATCAACCCTTTGAATCTGAAACCTGGGAGCCAGTCTATCAGAGAGCAGAGGCGCTAGAGAGGCAGGGCTTTGTTCACCTACTGTACAATATGTTTTTTGCTTCTATGCTGTCTAATCTTTTCCTTTCCACTGCCATCTATTCCCCTCCCTTTTGTGGCAAGGATGAGTTTCATGGCCAGTGAAGAAACTGATCAGCAACTCAGGAAAGAGAATGCAGAAGTTATGCCACAGTAACGATACTCTTCAAATTGAGTGTTAGATGTAGGGACATTGAAGAAGAGATCTACCTTGACATGTGTCTTGTATCTGAGACCGGCCTTTAGGTAAGAAGCTGTCGGCATGAAAGAGTGTTCCTGGGCACGTACAGAGGGCTGGCAACTTACAACAAAAGAATTCAGATGTCATTAGCTGACCTGACCTGACCAAAGGATTCAATATAAGTCCAACCTTATCTGGATAAAACTAAGAATATACTCTTAATGTCTTTGATGCAGTCTGAGTCCTGGGAAAGAAGGTACTCACAATGCAATATCTTCCCATCCTCACTGTTACAGACTTCCAGGTCAAAAAATAATTAGGAGGACATTCTTGCTTTCTACACTAAGCTTTAACAATTATTCTTTCAGAGAAATCCAGATACTTTTAGAAGATACCTGCCAGACAAAAATACAGTATGAGCAGTGAAAGAAAGCCAGACTTGATTTATAAAGCAAAAAACAACGCAGTATCTTCTGATGCAAAAAGATTTATCCATTGGTGGTGAGAATAAACTATGATCTGTGCCACACTCTTCTTTTCATTGTTGGGGGGCCAAGTGCTGAATTTTTGCTCATCAGATGGACAATACTGAGGACTGCCAACCTCTACTAGGCTAGATGATTGAAAATATGAGAGAGTTAAGGTCACCTCCAACTCTGGTCACCTTTTAGTTAATTGGCTTTTCAAAATCAAATTTGGATTCAGGTGTAGTTTTAAGACAGAAATTATGTGGTTGGATTACCATGAATGAGAAAAAAAATGGAAAATGATCCTATTGAGTCTGAGACCAATTTACCACAGATTTTCTTTTTGCTGACTCTCCCTATCCCCCTCCCGAATCCCCTGCAGTCCCATTTAAAGCAAAGAATGGAAGCCTCCTCACTAGATCACAGGACAGTTCAAGGATCGCCCTAATAAGGGAATTGCACATGGCACATGGAAAGAGACCCAGTGCAGTGGAGTGCCTATGACAACAGACTAGAATCTGGGTCTAGCCCTGACTAAGGCACAAAGCCAGCTGAGTGATCTTGGACCAGTCATACTCTTCCAACTCTAGGAAGGAGATAGTGGCAAACCATTTCCAAAAGCACCTGCAGGAACATAATAATAATAATAGTAGTAGTAGTAGGAGTACTAGTAGTAGTAATAATAAATAAATAAATAAATAAATAAATAAAAGTTGTGAAGGGTTCTGGAACAAAGGGAAATTGTTTAGCCTAACTGTTCCTTTCTTGCTTTTTGTAATCGGCTTTTGCACCAGGGAAATCTCATGCAAGTGTGGGAAACATGTACATGGATGCGATATACTGAAGGAGAGAATAAGGGAGTATACAGGAATGATTGATGTCTTTATTATGATGTAATGGCTCTGTTGTCTGATTTTCATTGGCTAACAAAGTTTATAAAGCTATGCTACCAACTTTCTAAGGTGTGGCACTTCTGGACATAACTCTGCCAGCGTTCCAGATTATTGGCCACCCAGCTGCTTAATTTGATCAAATAAAGTGCTGCTTGATCAAGAAGTCTCCGCTTGGGTTATCTGATTAGATTGATATGATATCTCAAGTTCATGTAAGGAACTGGGATCTTACATTTCTGGTGAACCAAACAGGGACAGTTTTTTTCTTCAAGGTTGTTTCACATTGAGACTCAATGTGAATGAGTTCTATTGTAACTCACAACCTTCAGGCATGACATCCAGGAAAACTGGTGTGCCCAAAAGATAAGGTCAAGAGCGCTCCCAGACCTTTTGTGTCTGGTGACTTTTGAATTAGCCAGCCCAGCAGACCTGAGTTTGTCTGAACCCTGAATGTTTAAGGAGACTTCCATCTTGTCCCAGTGAAGGTAGGAGGAGATGAGAACACAGAAGAAACTTGGTAAGTAGAAACAAACATTCTGGAATTAGGGGGAGATGGGGAGTGCTGTTTGAATGAATGAAAGAATGAGATGGAGAAATTCCTGTTAGAGGTTTGCTCCGAAGCAACAGGGAGAGTGCTTGTTAAGTTTCAGGCAGGTATCAGGCAGGGTCTCATCTGAGATACTAAGGGGGCCCTAGCTAGTCTCGATCTTGATAAAAAGACCAAGAAACCCTTTAAGGACAAGACAGGAGAAAAAAATATGGGGAACAGGCAAGGCAAGGGAAAAGAAAGAGCCGTGTTTTCAGTGGGCTGTGTGTTAGCCCATTGGAATGCATTGAAATTATGGCAGTAAAAATAATCTTCAAGGAAGCAATGTTGCAAAAATTTTGGCTAGCTTATCTTTTTAAGAAATCTAGCCAAATTCAAAGACGACTTTTTTTTTCTAATCTGGCTCTTTGAACGGACAATTTTTTTTCTGTTAGACAATGGCGCCATCTACTGTCCTTGAAAATCATCCTTATTGTTGGACATGAAGATAGGCGGCTGCTCTCTGTAGTTTTCCCCTCTGAATTTGCTGGGAAAAAATTGGAAGCAACCATAAATGTTCCCCTCCCTTTTTGGAGAAAGATTAAAAGGGAGGCTGCTTTGGCCTCAAACTCCAAATTGATGAGTTTTAAATATTTGGCCATCCAAAAGATTTAGTTTGGGCGGCCCCAGAACGGATCCGGCGAGCGGTGGGTTCGCGAGTGGCAGGATGGCGTGGCAGCCCATGGAGATCAACCTGGAGATGCTGAACAAAATACTCCATCGCCTAGGGGTTGCCCCTGGCTGGCAATTTGTGGATGTCTTAGGGTTTGAGAAAGACATCTTGAGTGCTGTGCCGACTCCAACTTGTGCAGTACTTCTGCTCTTTCCCCTTACGGCTCAGCACGAAAACTTCAGAAAAAAGCAGATTGAAGAACTGAAGGGCCAAGAAACGAGTTCAGATGTCTACTTTGTGAAGCAGGCTGCCAGTAACTCTTGCGGAACCATTGGCTTTATCCACGCAGTAGCTAATAATCAAGATAAAATACGATTCGATGAAGGATCTGCACTAAAAGAATTCCTCACTGCGACAGCTGGGCTGTCTCCAGACGAGAGAGCAAAACATCTGGAGAACAACAAGGCCATTCAAGAAGCCCACAATGCAGTTGCCCAGGAGGGTCAATGCCGGGTTGAAGATGACAAGGTGAACTTCCATTTCATTCTGTTTGCCAGCGTAGGCGGACACCTCTACGAACTGGATGGAAGAATGCCATTCCCTATCAAGCACGGAGCCAGTTCAGAGGACGCCATGCTCAAGGCATCAGCCGAGATCTGCCAGCAATTCACCCAACGTGAGCAAGGAGAGGTGCGTTTTTCTGCCGTGGCCTTGTGCAAGGCTGCTTGAAGTTTGGCAATGGAAACAGATCCTTGGCCTCTCACCAGATGTAGTTCAAGCCTATAAGGCTTTAGCACTTATGTTGAAAACTTGAGAAAACAACAACAACCACAACAACGTGAAAAGCAAGCCAGCTGTTCTTAGTTTCGAATTTAAGGTGTAACGCAGCTTCGGTGGCCCCTGTCCCAAAGACGAAAATTCACGCAAAAGTGTCAGACGTTGTTGAGACTCCCTTAACTGTTGTGTGTGTGTGTATATAAATGCTTTATAGGCTTTTGTGATTTCTCAGGTTCCTTTCAAGTGGCTGTGACTGCTTGTCTATCACAACAATAAATCCCTTCTTGCTATTAAAAAAAAAAGATTTAGTTTGGGCTTGGAATGGTGAGAAAAATAAGAGATGGTTCATGGCCCAACATCACATTTTCACTGGAATCACATCTTGATTTTTCTCATTTCTTGGAGGACAAGCAACAGGCCTAGAAATGTTGTCTTAATGTTGTCTTGGCAATTGTCACGCATGCCCAAGATGACGGACCGACTGCGGCTTGCTCCGTAGTACGCGGCTCCGGCAAGTGGGGAAATGGGGGCGTTTTGGGGGTGTCTCGGGGGCCTGCGACGAAGGGTGGCTGGATGACCCCCCCCCGGACCCGGTTCAGCCCGCCCGGCCCGTTTTCGGCCGTTTTCGGTGTGGGGACTCGGCCGTTTTCGGCCGTTTTCGGCGTGGGGACTCGGCCGCAACTGGGACTCGGGCGGCTTGGAAGAACGCCGGCCGGGAAGAAGAACGCCGGCCGGCTTGGATGAACGCCGGCCGGGAAGAACCTCGGCGGCCCGTTTTCGGCTCGTCGGACCTCTTGGTGGTGAGGCCTGGTGACCCTCGCCTCGGATCTGTTCAGTCCGTCCGGCCCATTTTCGGCCGTTTTCGGCGTGAGGACTCGGCCGCAACTGGGACTCGGGCGGCTCGGAAGAACGCCGGCCGGGAAGAAGAACGCCGGGCGGCTTGGAAGAACGCCGGCCGGGAGGAGCCTCGGTGGCCTAGTGGTGAGGCCTGGCTTTCCTCCCTCGGACTCGTTTTTAGCCTGCCCAGCCCGTTTTCGGCTCGTCGGACCCCTTGGCGGTGAGGCCTGGGGACCCCCCCTCGGGTTTGTTCTAGTCCGCCCGGCCCGTTTTCGGCCCGTCCTCGACCCGATTCGGCTCGTATTCGGTGGGAGGGCCTGGGCCGCAACCGGGACTCGGGCGGCTTGGAAGGACCCGGGCGGTTCGAAAGGACTAGGGTGGTTGGAAAGAACTTTGGCCGGGAAGATCTCCGGCGGCCTGGTGATGGGGCCTGGTTTTAGGCCACTACTTGACTCCCCGGCCCGGGCGCTGGCCTGTATCGGCTGGTCGGACGGCCTGGCAGTCGGCCCGTTTTCGGCCTGAAGAAACGGCTTTGACATCGACCGGGAGGGCCCAGTATGGCCAGCATGGCCGGGAGGAGTTTGGCTTCGGCCCCGCTCCGGCCGATGGAGGACCTGGTGTGGCCGGGACTGAACGTTTACCAACAGTTGAGGATTGGCCTCCCCCCCCCCCGTTTGTGATCTCCCACATCCGGACTTGCATCCTAACGCATGTACCACAGGACGATCCTATTGGCCCTGCGCGATTCACCCCTCGCGCAGGTCTGGCCCAACAAAATCTCAAGGGCCCACCTCGAGGATGGGGTTTGGAACCCCGAGAGGTGGCATGCGGCAAGGACAAATGAAAAACTTCGTAAATTGGACAAATTGAGGTTTTTCCTGAAGGGGTGTTTTAAGAAATTTTTAGGGGGAACAAGGGTGGTGGG